GTTATGTATCTAATTTTAATCGTTATCGTGTTATTCGTGCAACATAAGTCTTGACTACAACTATTATTCCACTAAATAAACATTATGAAAATAAACCTTGTGTTCTACCATCACCTGTCAGTGTTTATCGGGAACATTCCATTTACACTCTATAATAATAAATCTAAGTAGTTTTGTACATTAATAGATAAGCCATGCCATTATCAACTATAAGCAATTTTTAACTATCGTTGTATTATAAATTATAGTTAGAGATAAAATTAATTATGTTGTACGACGTACTCGTAACGCTCATTGTATAGGCCCTACCATGGCTTGAATATAGTCGAGTTACCTTCTTAAAAAGTTATGTGAGGGAACTGTATGACATAATTAATTAGTTTTTGAATCTTAGTGCAAAATATATGCATATACGTTTTTAGTTAATATTTTTTTTATAAATGTAGATAATTGTTAGTTTAATTAGTGCTTAAGTAGTTTTTAATGATGTTAATTCGAATTTAAGTGTCTACTCGATTTGATGGCAAATGTTGTAACAATAAATGAATTACCATTGCTGGAAGGTATTATGGTACAATATTTTCTCTCAGTGACTGTTTTCTTCCAACTTTTTATTGTTGCCGACTGCCTCTTTGGCCGAGTGGTCACAAGTGCGACTGCCGGACAAGGGGTCTCGGGTTCGGTTCCCAGGTCGGGCAAAGTATTACTGGGTTTAAAAAAATCTCAGTGATAGCACGGAGTCTGGAATTGTGCCCGGTATATGGCAATAGGCTCACCCCCTATTACATGGGACTCATAACATAAATAGTGAAAAGTGGGCGTTACATTGTACAGTGGCATTAAGTGCCGCAATGTGCACCACTGCCTACCCCTTCTGGGATAAAAAGGCGTGATGTTATCTAATGTTATGTTTTTTATTGTTGTTACATTTGCCTGATTCATGCCCAAATACTGAAACATTACTTGGTTTAAGTCCCGCTTAAGTATATCTTCTGTCTCTACAAATTGTTTGTGAAATGACAGAGACAGCACGATATTTAAGTACAATTGAGAATATATACAGTGAAACCTGGTTAAGTGAGACATCAAGGGACCTGCAATGTCGTTTCACTTATAGAGGTATTCCACTTACCCAGTGTCTCAGATATACAGGTATAAATAAATATCCGTCTCATTTAAAGAGTTTCCATTAATAGAGGTGGACTTGGAATTACGGGTGGAATTTGTGGGTAGAATAAGAATAAATAAACAAACAATGTCATCTCAGTTACAGAGGTTTATACATATTAAATTTACTCGCTGTCTCAGTTATAGAGGTAACTATGGTGATAAATTGAAAGAACAAATCCCAGATATAGAGGTTTACCTCGTCCCACTGACAGAGGTAATTCAGTTCCAAAGTGTTGGGACCTCAGCATGAGTTCTAGTTATGGAGGTTTCTCACTTATCCAGGTCCCACTTAACCAAGTTTCACTGTATATAGCTTTTCAGTATTCAGGCATTTAAAAATCAAGAGTAAGACATAATTAGTGATAAGTTATTATTATTCTTACGTAGGTAATATATGAGCCATTTAAAACAGGGTATGTAACAGGGCATTGTATGTCAATAGTGTTCATTTTTCCTTGTCAGTAGTGTAGACAAAATAAAAATACTCCTTAGTCTATTTGCTCTCGTGCCTTCTAGCGTAAGCAGATTAAAAAAACATTATTTAGTCCCACGGACCATTAACTCATATTCGGCGGTGCCATTTTTTTATGGCATGAGCCGGTACACGAGCAGGATGATGATGATGGAATGGTCGGATCATAATGATGATGGTAAGCAATCGACGTCGCCCATGGACACCTGGAACACCAGAAGCGTTACAAGTGCGTAACCGGCATTTTGGGGATTAGGAGTTTGAGGATTGTTGGGATTCAGGGATTAGGGAGATTGGGGAAGGGGAGGGTAATTGGGCCTCCGGTAACCTCACTCACATGACGAAACACAACGCCAGCGTTGCTTCACGTCGGTTTTATGTGAGGCCGTGGTATCACTCGGGTCGAGCCGGCCCATTCGTGCCGAAGTATGGCTCTCCCACACTTAAAAAAAAACCATGAAAAAATATTCGGTGAATTTCGCGACACTGTTCCATTCTGTATTATACAGGATGAAGATGGAACGGAATTTAAAATTGTAACAATGTCGATTTTATTTTACCTATTTATCAGACTGAAGGAATTCATTATTTACCCCGATTATGGTCCCATGGGACAAACCAGGAATCATATTCTACGCGGGCGAAGTCGCGGGCAACAGCTAGTTATTCATAAGTCTCTTTTGTAAGCGCCATAATAAATAATGTGTTTGAATAACAAATACCTTCTATGGATTTAATAGGGAAGTTATATTCGAAGGCGAACCTTCAATTGCGTATTTTTTAAATTTTATTATATCTGCTACTAGTATAAATAAGCCCATTTTTTAAAACTAAATACTTGAACTTTTTAATTGTTATTTTTGATGTTTTTTTTGTTAATAAAATTTTATTACGGTTATTTTTTCAAAACACACAAGTACAAATAAACAATAAAATTTTATGAGATATTTACAAGAAAATGTCAATTTTTAAAGTGAACAATTTTAACATTTTAAAATAATTCTCGATTATACTCGAATACTAAACTCACGTTAGTTTTTATACTGTTTTAGTTTATTTTATTATACATATGTCGTATAATTACTAACTGCCATAATTTTGTGGTTGACAACTAGTCCATATCTTTGTTTATGTAAGCATCGACATAATACTAATGGACATGCCGTACGCGTATAATCTGCAGTAATTTTTTTTGGTTTGAAAAGAGTGAGAGAGATGGCTTATGCTTTCGGCCTAGCGCCATCTCTTTCTCGCTTATAACGTCTTAATTACGGTACTATTTTGAGAGAGATAAAGATAGACCGAAACTTCGTTTCCTCTCTTTCTTTCGGAGTGCCACAATTCTCATCTCTAAAGCATGTCCATTAGTATATGTCGATGTATGTAAGTATATCTTTACTATATTGTCGAGTACTGTTTTACCGATTTCGATGAAACGTGATGAGCTTACGGCTTTTTACTCACCAGATGGCGCACAAGTAGAATAAGGTCTATTTTCTAATTATGGTAGCTATCAAAAATTACTTGTGTAATAGTTTTAGCCTTTGCAGTTCGATACAATTTATTTTTGGGTAGAGGGAGTATCCAATTCTCTATAAGCTAAACGGGACTTTATGCTATACTAGCGCCGTTTGGTTTTTAGCCAGTAAGAGTCTCACACTTCCTCCCGCCTCACCCAGGTGGGAGAAGTCATTCGATGATTTACCCCCCTATAAAAAGCGCCGTTTGGTGATCAAAAATCTGTAACCCATATTAATGTTTTACAAAAAAAATGCAATCGGAATGTTTAAAATATGGTGTGTAGTCCAAAAAAGGACTTTACAACTTAGCGGAACAAAGAGTATTTTAACTGTCTCAAATTGTTGAATTGATGTTTAAGCATTGGTACTTTGAAATACTCATAAATTAAAAAAATAAATGGTGTTGGGTTATATTGGTGTGTTTCTTTTATATGATAAGGGAATATTTCATGTCTTTTTTTTAATTTCCCGCCTGGGTGAGACGGGAGGGAGTGTCAGACTCTTACTGACTAAAAACCACCCCGTTCCTTCTCCTGCACGTCGAGCCGGATCCCCGGTTACCCGTTAGGTTCTTCGCGACACACACGACGGAAAGGTACATTGAGAAAGCAAATCACCCTACTCCAATCTGTCATTTGATTTTCGACTTTATATGTCAATAAAATAGTATACAATACATAAGTTGATTGCTTTTTTATGGGATAGCCTGGTAAACAATCAGACAGATCACCACCAGAGGCGTTATATGTGCGTTACCGACCTTTTGGGGATTAGGAATTGGAGGATTGTTAGGAATTCAGGGGTTGTTACATTGTGTGGTGATTCCGTAAGGGCAACCCGGGTGACGGTCACAGGCAGTGAAGGAACACCGCGGTGGTTTTAGCCGGTATGAGTCCGGCACGCCCCCTCGTCGTCCCCACGGCGCGGGAAGTCCATGAGGATTTCCATCGCGATAGAAAAAAAAAAAAGGGGTTGTTACATTGTACCATAGGTATATTAGCAACTATTGTCCCTTTTAAGAAGTCCTATCTAACGGTATATCCCATGTTGCTATTGAGGGGTAATATTTGGTACACACTATTAATCTTGATGACA